TATTCTACGCAAATGCAGTGTTAGAACACACTAATTGGGGCCAAGAAACTTCAGCACAACGCTTTCGAGAGTCACTAATTCATCCCTTAAACCCAATTTAGCTGATCTTCATTTAGTCAAAAAGGAAACATTTGCAATCGCAATTTAAAACATGGTTTAATTTCATACAGGAAGTAGGCTTGTAGTAGCATAACTACATCAGGCAACCATTGCAATAACACTGCAGGATTTAGGTGAGACGCAATAAGGAAAAGATAAGTATTAATAAACAAATTATCTATACAGATATAGTGGATCAGAACAAAAAGGGGGGAAATGTTTGACAAGACAAATATTTTATTTCTTCTTAATTCTCAGCAGTAGGTTTTCTTGAGAGCATTACGTAAGAAATCCAATGTAATAAAAACTTAAAGTCATGACCTTTTCAAGGTAATAGTCGGTCAGCATGTTGCTCGACAACGTAATAGGTAAGTTAAGAATACACTTCTGACACTGCGAAAACTGGTAGAATATTAGTCGTAGATGTTACTTATATGTTTGGGGCATATAGATAAATTGATCATATGTGTAGGATGGTAAATTAATGGCATAATTTAGAAACAAAGCTAGACAAAATCTGACACCGCTCATATGTTAAGTATATATCAGCATCTTAAATCACTATATAAACGTTATAATAAGAGCGAAAAGGTTTAAGTGAGGTTCGGATCTAAAACATGTTAAACACTTAGAAAGAAGCTCCCTTTTCCAGGTTTTTGAAATTGAAAGCAAACCAGAATAAACCATTGAAGGCACGGCGAATTCGGAAGACTTCTCGGAACAATAGGGGTATACGTATGTATATACATCTTTTTATATCGCTAGCGGTTTCCTGCAATTATTTAACACATCAGCACACCCTAAGAGTGGTGCTATCATGAATCTTCTTTTTGCTGGCACTAAAGACTTGATTGCATCGGTGTACGTAAGCCGCAATATACTGGCATGCTGGTACCGGTGTTACCTCACGGATCAAACTACCCGCCAGTTTTTCAGTCTTAATGCGTCCGCTTTATCCTACTTTATGCTACTCTCGCGTAAGGCACGACCACACGTCTCCAACAAGTAGGTGTTACATACAAAATATACGTTAACGACCTTAAATTATATACGAAACTTCGAAATACTAAAGGCACACTGGAAATCTAATTACTGCATTTTCGTTTGGCGTAAGATAAATCGAATGAAAATATTAGTCCCGAAATGCGCTGTTCTAAAGACTGCCCCTCACAACAAGGTATATAACGTAGGTTAACAAGGTATTCGAAGTTGCTTTCAAAGATCGACAGGCAGATCAAATTTCGAAATATAAGGCTGCGTCTTACATCAGTATAACGATTCTTAGGGTGTACTTCGTACCTAAATATTTAAAATAGTATGTCTTTTAGGTTGCGCAAAAATAGACATATTGTGGTTATATATAGGTGCCCAATTACTAAAAAAACATTGGTGCTCTTTAACGCGTTTCGCGACGGTGCAGTATTTCTAGAGACAAAATCACCATTCCTATCGTAGCATTGATACTAAAATATTTAGTACTTTTCTTAGAAATGACAAACTTAAAGACTTTTAGATACTTTGAAAAAGCATAGAAGTGGCGACTATCAATATTGTTATTCCTTTTTTTTTCGGAGCATGGCCTACCGTATACACGAACAAGGCTACCTAAATTTTATCATATAACCCCCTTTTTAATAGAAGAATTATCATGATGATGTAATTATCATGACCCTTACCGCCACGATTTTAAGTACAGTAATCCTATGAAGCATCGTCAAGAGAATCGCCAAGAACTTCTTCCAGAATGAAATGCTAATTCAGAAATGGGTCAAAGATAACATCCTCAAAAGTAATGACAGGCGTAGAAGGCGCAACGTAAGTCGCTGCCTGTACTAAAAAACACCAAAGTTAACGAGTAATTGGATTTCGGTAGAGTGATGCTTATGTAGCATAGATGTTTATGTGCAGTAGATGCTTTTAGGAGTATATATGCGGAACAGTGAAGGTACAGAATGACAAGTAGTTATTCTCTCACAACATTAAAGCAACCCAAACGCCAGAGCATTGCACACTTTTGGAGAAAACCCACAGTTGAACTGAGAGATAAGAAACAAGGCTCCGGCTTAAACCCGGCTTTGTAGTGGAGATGCTCTAAGATAAAAAAAAGGTATTACGATTTCAAATTATGTAACGCAGAAAATGAAGCGCAAATGCCTACAAGATATAAAGAGAGGTAACAAAGTCTTCACTAGCACGGCGGTGCGTTAAAAAGGATTCTCGCTGAAATCGAAGTATTTACGACCCAAGACATAGAACAGAGAAATTGTTAATCCAGTAGATGCTATCAAGAACTTTGCGTTACAGTGGTAAATATTCAGATGTCAAGCTTTAAACGAAATTAACATTTTGTTTGGCAGAGAAATTCGATGTACAATTCATGCCTTAACAAGGAGAAGCCAAAAATGTTGCAACGTGCAAAGCGAAGGAACGATAATACAAGGCTGTGAGTGCTTGTCCTCGTGATAGCTTAAAAAGTAACGTATTTGCCTGCTAATCTTAAGGACACGTTGCGATCTAGGTTAGAATCCAGCCATAGGCACACTTTGTTTCAAGCTGGGAGCCAGCCGTCTGATGGCAACAGCGACGCGATGCGCAAAATTCAAAACATAGAGGCTGTATCTGCATGAAAATAACAGTTACTATTTTCGTGGCATAAATGCAGGAATGACAATCCGGTAAGCTTCTAATACTAAAGTTAACTAGGCATTTGCGATAAAGGCACCATTAAAAACTTGCGGAAGGAAAGCTCGTTTTAATCAGCATACGGGTGTTATTAGTATATATACTAATAAAGCCATTCGAAGATCCTTAAAATATAGAAGGCGGTTAACACAAGACAGGCTTTGGCTGCCTTCCCCTATGCTTTTGGGTAACGGAACCAACTGACTGAATGCAAGAGCTGCCTGCGCCATTATCTCTGGAAAAGAGGCACTCTATAAACAATTTGTAAATAAAATCGGAAAAAATTTAGCCGAAAAGTTAACAAGTGACCGATTTATACTTTAGTGATAATCAGTGATTGACCAGTACGCCCCATTGTGCCGACCAGCCAGTACAGAATGACAGCAATAGTAATACGTACATACCTATTAGCTTAGAGACAAGTTATGGTTTAAATTTAAAATAGGACGTAGACCTACTCCGTTGCGTGCTAGAGCCAGCCATCGAAAGTAATGTTTCGGACATAAAATTTTGCATTGAAAGGGCAATAAGTGAATCGTTTTAGCAATGCTTTTGTTCTAAAAGAATCCCTCAGCCATATCAGGCTATAACACAATACAAAGCAGACAGACTTGTTGAAAAAAAAGTAAAATAGTTACGAAACCGCTGTATTAGCTCTGCTGTTCTGTATTTTCGTATGTCTCTGCTGGTGCAAATACGGCTGTGCTTCTATGCATACCCAAGTACAAGAAACCTTCTGAATTCAAAGGAAATATTACTCATAAAATGTGTAATTATCCATAGGATTACTCGGCCATAGTTCCAGTAAATTTTTAGGCGCACTGCATCCAAGCACATGGGATCAGCCTTGAATTAATGGTTTCAAAACATTGAGCTGCCCTAATAATCGTGACGATTAATTCCTTGAATGTAATACTTAAGCTCTAAAAGTATTGCCCCACTTAGTTATGAACTACTCAATTTTGTACTGATTTTTTTCTCATATTTTATTAGCATTTCTTGATAAATAAGTTAAGAGGCGACATTTTAGACATTCTACCTTCAATTCCTCCAAGAATCTTAAAATTATTTTAAAACTGATAATAGGTTTTCCAGAAAGGTCTGAGTGATAAAAAGGAAATAACCATTTTAGTTGTTCACGGAATATACAACCTTGGCATTAATGCTTTAGGTCTGTGTGATTACAAAGTTGTGAAAAAAGGCAGCTGGTGAGAAAGTAAATTTCACTATTGATTTACTTTGAGAACCCATAAATAGAGAAATTACATACGGGAACGCGAATTGCAGGTAAATGGCTGCCAGAGCGCTGAGATAAGTATATGAATATGAAAGCGCCTTTAATACATATTAAAAATCATCGTTCCAGCCTAACTGATTCAAACGTTATTCAATTTCATAGTCTGCCAGATTTGTCTGCAATAGAAATATTTTGAGCTTTGCGTCTGAAACTGCCGTTTACCATTGTATAGGACGGTGACTTACGACCCTATATTCTTCAAATGGTTGCCTAATATGCTGACCTGCATCGCCATTGTTCGTAAGCAGACATGTTATCACTGAATTATAAGTAAACGTCCATATTGTTGAATTGAAAAATCTGCTGGCCTATGAGTAGCCATTTTAATTTTTCGAAGTATTACGCTCTCTGTGAAAGTATGTTATTCTGAGAAGGCTGAAGCAAGGCTTTACGCTAATAAGCACATAAAAGCTCAACGTAAATACAAGTGTTAGCTCTAGAACTACCACGGTTACGAAACACATACCATAAACATTATGGATTACTGGTTCACTGATTTAGTAATCCATTAGCGATTTCAGCATTGAAAGGTGCGAATTTGAATACGCACGCACAACAAGAATCTTCAGATAGTTACCCGTGTTCGACAACAAAATGCGACGAAACACTTAAGCAGAGAACCTTCTAGAAACACGGCAAATACAATGAAGCAATATGATAGTCCCTCTTTCCTATGATACGTAAAAAAATTCCCCTTTTTCATTTAAAAAATAAATACGAAAACAATACGTCACCCAGCGTTAAAAAAGACAAAAACTTGGTACCTAGACAACTGGATGGCAAATAAAGACGATTTAGGGGGTGTATAATATTTTTGGTTCACCGCAATCGTGCCATGTTCATCAGCCTGAACACTCTTACTACGTGCAGGATATTTCTTCGTGCCCTGTAACATAGACGTCGCGCATTGTTATTCACGTACCTGGGAAACGCATTTTGGCACCCATCCAGAGGGTATCCATGACTGTGGTTGGTGATAATGCATCTTATTGACGCAAGCGTTTTAATACACACGAACTCCTCCATGTTACACGCACCTGGCGTCATTGGCAGGGTTAAAAACAAACCAATTTGCTCAACTTCTCCACCAAGTCACCACACATCTGCTACCGGCACGGGTAAAAGCCTGCTTGCTCGAAACTGACTGTCAAGCATGCGTTCACCAGCCCATGAAGCAGTCGTCTTTCATTAGAAGCGTGAATGATAGAATGTAAACCGGCAGACGTTCCATCCCGTTCACATCATGTCCACTAACGGCAGCTAGCTCGAACTTGTTTGTTGACGCCCTCCGCTTACGTCTTGCAGCTGAACGTTGGCAATAGAACAAAAATCAATGTTTGCAAGAATTTTTTATCTGCAACATATAGATCGACCCTATAAGCATTGCACTCTCATGTGATCCCTGTTATTACCGATGATAAAAAACGACCTTGGCCTTTTAATTTATATTCGGACCGACTGCAGGCTCAGATCGTTCAATGCAAGTCTGCACAGCGTTGATCAGTTCGGTAGAGGACGTTATCCACTGTAATAGGTAAAGGCCCAATACTGTTGATAGGTCCTTTAAGTCCAATCGCAATTTCAGCTTTTCCCGTAATGCCCGTTTTAGCCAATTTTCACACGGACATTACGATTGCTGTCTACCAGGAATAGGCAGGTAAGAGGCACTCAATTTAAAGCAAGACTCTCTCTCTCTCTCTCTCTCTCTCTCTCTCTCTCTCTCTCTGTACAGATGATTGCTCTAAGCTGAGTGACTCTTAAAAATAATTACTTCTAAGTAGTCGTTTTATTAGAAAAATCAGTATTTACTTCAATAAAAAATCACGTATTTTGTGGCAATGGGTCATTTGTAGCATTCCGGCTCTAGTGTTATCAGTGGGTCAACCTTATTTAAGGTTTTAGCGACCACATTAACACCAACCGGTCCGCTTTTGAATGCGAGCCTCAACAAGACGTTATGTAGCATTTTATATATGGATCTAAAATTTTGATAAGGCTCCAGCTCCTGTTACAGCTAGCGTCATGGAAATTTGCCTGCACACTAGACCTTTAGGCTTGATTAAGGCTCAGTTCTATTGGCACGACAATCTCAAAATTGGTATGTCACCTAGGGATTTTAATAGTAGTGGAATTATCCTATTGTATCATAATATAGGTAAAAGGGCTTTTTCTATGCAACCTATTTTGTCAAATGTAAAGAAAACAGTTTCTGAGTAAACAAACAATGTTTTGTTTGCCTCTGGGATTTCAACCAGCGACGTCTTGGTTATCTTCGGGGTCGAATTATCGATACGCGCCATAGCTCTTAATTGCGCAAATTCGCTTTGCAGAGTGGCTTTTTTACTACCGCCTATCAATGAGTTGATGTTCAAAATACGCAGCGCTACAACGAAGGAACTTACCACGGCTTACTCGCTAAGTACGTTGGGAATTATTGCATCGTTCCCGCCAGTAGACAAAATAGATCGTCGAGCTGCCTGCTTCTTTATTTCCTTATCGTTGCCCGTTCGAGTGCCTTTTGAACACTTAAGGTTTTGTTAGGTTAGGATCTAACCCAACTAGTACGTAAAATATAGACGCCTGTACTAAAAGATGCGAATTAAGGTAGAGCTGTACGGTCAATGCTTTATGGTCAATGACCGGCTAAATCTGCTGCAAAACTAAGTTATTTTGAAACAGTGCGATATAGCACACATACATTCAGCTCAAACCAATCCATTTCGGCATCGCCATGCACAATTTTAATGTCCATCTAGCCGTGTCAGTAGTTAGCCGAAATCTTTCTAAAGTATTTAAAGAAAATTTTTTACTTAAATAAAGTAAAGTACATGTTATTGGAGAGGCTTGAATCAGGTTTACTGTCTTCAACAATACTGCTAGTAATCTCCAAAGCGACCTCTTAGAATACACGGGTTGGGCTGATTTTTTCGTGAGTCGCTGGAGTTTCATATTGTAGAGCTGTGCGGAAGATGGAACCGATGGAACAATACTTTTGCTCCTAGACGACAAACTTTGACTTTCCTAATAGAGCGTATTAATTTCGTTAATCGTAAACCGGTAAACAGCAATTTGTTTTCCGTCTTCCGCGTTAGGAAACAATGGTAGACCACCGGTTACAGACATCAAGGACGACCGCGCTGTGTGGAACCTTATCTTCATTTATCCATTCGTTATATACTTTCATTGCTCGAAGGAAAAATCGTTTTCTTTATATATTAGGCTACGTTAGTACGCTGCAATAACTGGACACTAACAAACGTATAGACAACTGTGGGAACTGTGTCCATGTGTCGGAACGGTACTGCGTTTCAACCGCAACGGCCGCCTTTGTATCCTACCCAAACCGCAGCAGAAACTTCTTTATCGTCTTTTACGTTTGAAAACAACAGTATTTTAGCGTACTAAGACGGCCACAAGCATCGCCTGCGCTATCGGTATGGATATTGTGTTGCGTAAACAAATGTGCTCAACTTGTGTTGTAAGACAAACTGTCTTAATTGTATGATGAAAAAAACTTTTAGGATTTGTTTCATTGAGATTATAGGCTATTAATTAGTTGTCCTAAATCAAAACAGCCACGTTCAAAAACAGCGGTCACTAAGGGTTAAGTTGCGAAGAGAGCCGAAAGAATCATCGAAAAAACAGGAGAAGCAGATAGTGACAGATAGCGAAGTTCCAGGCAGAATGAGCTTATATCTACTAAAGGTCCTAGACAGCGTAGAGCACATTAACACGATCAGATCTTAATAAATGTCAATAGAATCGACAACACTTGTCTATAAATGTATGTATATTTTTTGTTATAATAATATATATAGCAAAATATATAAAATAAAAATATTCTTTACACAGTAATATAAATGTATGCATATTACTATGTGAAGAATATTTTTTCAAACTTGAACGGCTAATTTCTGTTCTATGGAGGAAATAATTAAATTATATAATACAAGACTATTTTAAGAACTGAAAGGGTTGAACCCGAGTAAAGCAACACCAGCAAAAGATTTTCGAAAAAATATCAGATAATATAAAACTGGCTGTTCCAGATGACTTCATTATGGTGTCACTAGGGGGTGCGTTTTCCTGAAGAATACATTATTAATTATAAATAAAGTATTATTGTTTACCATACAATACAATTACTGATGCCATGACACGACCTACAAATCCAATTCCTTTTTTACTTTATAGATGGATTTTATTTTATAGATTTTATGAAAGGTCTACTTAACATATCTATAGATTTATGGAACAGTAAACGCCGTCCTCAAATTCTGGATCGTCTAAAATTTCATGCCATGATGAGATGTACCTTAAAGAAATCAGTATTGTACGCTCAGTACCTAACAAGGGTCAATTTACGAAATTGTATCATATATTATCCCGAAGCGCGCATCAGCACTGACTCTGATTGACGACTACTACGCAACACGAAGAAATGTATAATGCTCAAGCAAGGGGCTAAATAGGAATGATTGCCCAAAATACATAGCAGAACTTCGACAGGACGCTGTCATGTATAGCAGTACCGACCGAAATGGGTACTATATCAGACGATGACGTGCCAACCGCACACACCAGGAATTGTAGATCGCTGGGCTGAAAATGAACCACTGAAAGATTTAATCAGGATATTTCTAACTAAGGAAACACCCTTTAATAAAACACTATATGAAGAAATTTGGCAACGTCATTGCTTATTTGACAACCAAAGAATACCGAGAAAAAGAAGTGCCACATATTCACATTTTGATGTGGCTCGACTAAAACATTAAATCCCAGTCAAAAAGCTACGATACATTTGCGCAATCATAAATCAAAACGTAGGTTCAAAACTTCACAGATGTATGTCTAAACGTCTAATTTACGGCCTGTATTAAATAACTAATTCGCCCTGCATGAAAAACAGTGAATGGTCGAACATACATTGAACGTATATAAATGGGTGAAATGCCTATGGTATATACAAACCACCTTTCGGGAGCTAGGAGATTTTAAGGGTTACAAAAAGGGCCAACAACATGCAAATCATGAACTAACGTCACAATGAGCCGCAATCGACATTCATGGCTCTATGCAATCACAATAAATTCGCAATAACTTTTTCTCTACGCCCATGTACCCAATTCAACACCTAGGCCAATAACTATAGGAACAAAAAGAAAAACAGCCTAAAAATTGTCAGTCTTTTCATTTACTATCAAAACAGATACTCTCACGTACATACAGAGCAAATTCACTTTGGGGAAGTACTTAGTATTCGAAGACTCTGATTATATCATACCGGTCGTGGACGCACATTCTCTCACTTGCCAAGAACGCATAAGGAAGCTCTGTTTTCTACATTTCAACAATTTTACATACACCAAAAGCTACTGTTCGATGACGACCAGCGGCAGAAGACTATGGAAAATGCTGAACAAAGACAAATGCCTTAGGCGAGTTGGGATCCAATTGCAATCGTGTTAACGACGGGAGAAGCTGCTAATCCATTAAATTTGTGAAACATTCTCAAGAATATAATCATAAAGATTGTTGAGGAATATCACTATAGGACTATCCAAGAATAATATGACTTTTTCCACATCTGATAAACCTTTTACGTATTTTCAAGTCAAAATCAAAGGCTTTTAATAAGAAGATACAACACTGCAAAAGACAACGAAATTTTAAGCATCCATGAAGAACTGAGAAAAAGATGCTACAGTGATGTTTGTGATCGTTTGAACAAAAACAACAAAGACCTTGTTGTTGTTCGAACAAAGACCTTTGTCGACGCTCCAAGAGGAATAGGTAAAATTTTCCTGATCAATTTCATCCTAACCAGACTGTGAAGGTATTGGAAACAGGTGCCCATATCAGTAGAATCATCGGGCGTTGCCACAAGCTTGATGCTCAAAGGCCGAATTGCACTATCCTTATTCAGGCTTCCGATTTACGCCAAAAATAAAAATCCTGTATGCGATTTTCGCCAGAATTAGTTAAATGAATAGCGATACCGATATTAAAAACGCCTGTATAAAAAGGAAATCCAGTGTATTTTCATTTGTCGAGCCGAAAATGTCGTTTGAAGGGTGAGAAATGTACATGGTGTTTTATACAAGGGAGTTTTCTCGACGCGAACCGGCAGATTTTGACAAGCTCTGAAATTTCATATTGCATCTATAAGGAGCGAATTCTTCATACTCGGTTGCTGAAAAGCTTTGTAATCGCAACAATATGTTCTTCCGTTTGAGATCCTGAGGTGTAGTTATTTCCGGTGTGCTTTTAAACTTTCATTTTCCGTTTTTAAAATGATTTCATCAGTAATGAACTGTTATTTCGCTGAAAACCTTGTTACACAGTGTCGTCAGTAAATTCAACTAGCGTTTTTACCATTGAGATACACTACCTCTAAATTCATAATTCTTTGATAGCACTCAATGAGCTTGTAGTCGTAGATAGCCAAAAGCTCTGTGTAAATATTTACCAAACCGACACACCTCGACTAGTTCTACCCAACTGCCCAGTCTATTTCGAGGCTGTATAAACTCATTTTTAGACCATGCTCGGCCCCTGTGAATAATATACCGGTAAACATACCTCTCTACACGTCGGTCTGACTTCCCGAGGACTTCGACTTGATCGAAGGTCGAGAGAATTAGGCATATACGCAGAGGCAAACATATAAGTTCTACGGCATCTACAATGAACACGTAAATGGGGCATCGTCACCAGCATGCGGCTGAACAACCCTGTCCCGAACATGTTTAAAATAAGCTAATATTCTTAAAACATGGTGAGTACAACGCTAAAAGATAAAAATAGATCCAACAGATCCTAAATCGTGAAGAAGCATCGCTAAGAAAAGCTGTATTTATAAGCTCTTATCTAGGTTACTATACAGCGACTAGTCTTTTATGTGGAACACCGTAAACTGTTAGCAGAAGAGCAGCATAGGTTCTACGCAAGCAGATCAGTTGTAGCGGCATGCATGGCGCAGTCGGATGAGCCAGAGGACACGCTTCAGTGTCCTTTATTCAGCATTCGTTTACTTTAAGGCCGTGCTAAACACAAAGTCGCTAAATAAAGTGATCTTTCTTCCCTGCTGTCCTCACTCTTAATAAACAATTTCTATTTACGGATAAAGTAACGGCACCCACACGTCAGTTTAATCCTGTATGCTGATGCTCTTCCAATTTAGGATATGAGCAGAAACCACTTAACTGGCACTCTCGACAATAAAACGGAGCGTAGTTGAGAAAACATTGGCAAAAGAATTTAGACGAGGCGGACGGCCTGTTGACAACAACATCTTTTAACCACACGGTGAACTTCTTGAATTTGCTAACTCAAGTTGACAACAATGGGACAGTCATCTAAAAGCTACGGTTAACAACAGATGTCGGCTTGCTGTTACAGACGTGTGGCGCTGACTTTCTTTTAAAACCTAAGTACCATTCGTATTCGTCATTTATATAGGTACTGTAGTTATATTGAAAGGTGAGATAAATTTCGTTTACGTAGATACTGCTAAAATAGCATTCTATGCGAATAGACAACTTAGGCTCACACAGAACTCTGCAATGCAAAATTTAAACTGGAAGAACTGTATATTTAAAAATACAAATAACTATCCACATCATATGGAGCTAAGTAGGTTTAATTGTGATACGTATGGTCAACAAATATGTCAGGCGGCAACTTCCATTCGGTCCCATAGCAAAATGGCTATGGAAAATTTAAAACAGCGATTACTAATGCATCTCGATAACTGCATAGAATGATAAATTAATAAAAACTGCTAAAATTGCTAAATCTATTTTTACTGAGATATCTTGAGACTTACTTTTTATTGATACTAAATTCGTAAATTTGCTTGAAATTACCTTACATTACCTTAGAATTAGATTAAACATAAAATCAACAAAGCATAAAATAAAAAAAAAAAGAAATAGATTAAACATAAAATTTGGAAGGTATATTGCAAATATCTCTAGACGACACGAATATTGATTATAAGCAATTTTGTTAGCTTCCGAAATTAAATTGAATTTGAAATAAATTAAATTCGAAAATTGTTAGCTTACCAGGTGTCATTATGGTGACACTGTGCAAAGAGATGCCCCACGTAAGTCAGATGTCGAAAGGGTTTTTATTAGCTATTATTATTATTATTAGTTATTATTAGGTCTATGAAGTAAAACTCGAGGTGATTTTGGGACCCTAAAACGAAACGTAAGGAGCGACACTTTTGTATCAGTTGAAACTGTCAAACAAGGTGAAAAAAAAAACCAATCGAAATTGCAAGCTTATCTGAAACTGTTGGGAGTGTGCTCAGATAAAACCAACGTTTCCTCACGTAAGAAACCAAAGTCAAATTGAAACACCCGTCTAACAGCAAGCATATCCGAGAAAAGTTCCAGAAAAAATACAGGCTCAACTGAGTTTATAAAAATTTTTCAGATTCAAAACAGTAATTATATAGTTATAAGTGATATGTGATTTATGGTCTCGCTAAACATCATTCTGCATCTTGTCTTTCGTTGACGCTCGTATAGATGTATGATTAATAAATTGAATCCGCGCGGCAGATCCAGGATATTTTCATTCGTAAACTAATGAATTCCAACTTGCGGAAATCGATAAATTATTCTCGGTGTTTTTGAATACTCTCCGGTGTGAATTTTTGCTTGGCCGCCACTACGAAACCATTATGAAGATATTTCACATTTGAATTTGTAAATTAATGCTATTTTATTAGCTTACGGCTATTAAATGATAAAATCAGCTTCCTTATTTGATATCAGCTTTAGTCACAGGAAATTAATGTTCAGTTTCTGACTGTTCAGTTGCTAAGAGTTTGCACAGTTCCATTGGCCAACCGAGTGATAAATCTAAGTAACTATATCATCATTTTACTCAGTCAGTTCATCCTATTTGTTTGCTTTTGTAAATACAAGCGTTCATAGGGAGTCACTTAATCTTTTCCTATTATACATGGTTACTTCCTTAGTTAAGGACGTTCGCCAGGTTAGTATTTTTCTTTTCACGATAATGGTGCGATATATATGTAACTGTGGTTGCTGAATTGTGTCCTCGTCGTTGTTATTCTTGAGCTTTATGTTTAATATATACCATTGGTTTCTTCTTCTGTTAGTGAATACTGGTATTTTTTTTTTTTTGTATAAAGACATTTTCTTCATTCATGCAGCTTCTCAAGTAAATTGATTTAAGAGAAGATTTCCGATTAAAAGTATTTTATGTACAATAATCTTTTACATCGCAACTAAATACAACACGCGTTTTTGCTTCAACTTCCTTTTCTGTTTTTGTTCAGTTTAGTATGACATTTATTTCGGTGCTGCTGTGGCCTTCTTTCATCATTTGCATCCACGTTATTTTCAGCTATATGTTTTTGTATATATATATAGACTTAAAACGATGTAACAACTTCTTTTTAGCACATTGGTGCGAACTTTTGATTTTCCATGGAAGGTGATCATACGCTATCAGTTTTCTATGACTCACTACACGAATTGTGCAGAAAGTCAAATAATTTTAAAATATTCTAGCACATACCCAAAGTAAAGATGCCTGTTTCACATATAACCCTTTAACAGCTCTCTCTGATCCGTAGCTGTATTTGAAGCATTAAAAACCCAAACATTTCTATTTTTCGATTCGATATCATCACTCAGAGAACTTGTCCATCTGTTTTGAATAGATGTCCTTATGCTTGCTATTTACCACACTTGTACAGTGAGAACGAGTCCTTGAGAAACACAGCTCCCAATCGAAAAGATAGCACATAGAAGGCGCAACGCCGATATAGTGCACAATTTCTCAGTGACGAATTTGCTTATCGAAGGAGCATATCTCAATTCGAAATTAAACATGTGGGTAACGTACTTTGAATGGGCAAATGCTTGCGTAGCCCTATTCAAATATATACGCTGCTTTTTTTCTGCCGCATTTTACTTCCAAGGGGTCTAAATTCACTGTACTAGTTACATTGGCTAGTATTTTCTTATAAGTTATCTTCTCTCTACTTTTTATTTAATAGTGTGAAAATGAATAATGTCAATCATATCCTGCGATATGTCAGTATGAGCATTGTAACAGTCTCTCTAGCTTTACAAAAAAAAAACCTCGTATCGTAAATGTAAATACAACCTTAGATATTATAAATAATATTGATTGACAGCAAGTTCTAATGTGCTAGTACTTCGGTGTTGCTAGCTCGTTTCACCACTCAAATAAGCACTGTCACTCAAGGTTACTACCAGTTATTTATGATTGACATTGACGTGATACTTGTCGCCAATCATATGCGATTT